GGGGACACCACGGTGGCATCAGCGTGGCACCGCCAGCCCCCTGCCACCCCCGGCCCCCTCCCCAGCCCTTACCTTTGACTCCGGCTGCTGCCCGCTGTCGCCCGGTGCCCCCGGTGCCGCCGTTGCCGTAGGGCTCGTGGCGGCCCAGCGTGTCCTTCTGCCGCGCCACGGCCACGGCGATGCCCACGGGCGGCTGCCGCACCTCGCCCTCGGTGCCGCCAGGGCCCAGCGCCTCGTGCTCCCGGCCGCGGGCACAGTCCGGCCGCTCCAGCTCCAGTTGCCCCTTCCCCGACGGGAATTTGGCGTCCTGGTGGGCGCAGCTGCCCTTGGTGCCCGCCAGCCCCACAAAGGGGGGGCCCTTCTGCCCCCCCAGCAGGGCCCCGTTGCTGTATTTGAGCAGGTTCTTCATGGCCGAGACCTCGTCGGGGGCGTTGGGCACCTCCTGCGCCCGCACCAGCCCCGTGCCAAAGGGGTCCAGGTAGGGCCCCCCCTTCCGCTCCTCCGCCACGGCCAGGGGGGGCCCCTGGCCCTGCACCCCCCAGGGGGGCAGGGGGTGCCCGCTGTAGCCCAGGGCACCCAGTTCCAGGGGCTTGCGCTTGCCCTCGGCTGCCTCTGCCTCGGGGTGCTGCTGGTGCCGGATCCGAGCCACCTTCTGGGCCGGGGGGTCCTTGGGGGGGCCCTTCTCTAAAGTGCAGCAGGAGGGGCCGACACGGACGCCCAGGGGGTCAGGGCGGGGGGCACGGGAGCAGTCGGGGGCTGGTGGCACCTCGAAGTAGCTCTTCTCCAGCCCCCCCTTGGGCGCCGGGCACCGGCTGGAGAAGGGGGGTCCCTCAGCTGCGCTGCCCCCCAGGTACTCCAGCCCCTTCAGCCGGGTGCCAGGAGCCCCCCAGTCCAGCCGCCGCTCCGCCGGCCCCTCGGCCTTCAGCGGGTGGTGGAAGGGGGCACCGTAGGGCTCGGTGCCCGCCTCGGTGTGCCGCTCCTTGCCGTCCCCACGCTCCATCCCGCCGGATTCCACCTGGAACGAGCGGCTCTTGTCCGCCGGGGGTCCCACCGAGGGCACCAGCGTGGCCCCGCTCAGCTTCAGCTCTCGGGCGGGGGGCTCGGGCAGCGGGCACAGCACCTCGGGGCCGGCGTGGAGCGGGAGGCAGGGGAAGGAGCCGGCGGCGGGCACGGCGTAGGACACGGCGTGGTGCAGCATCTGCCGGCGCTCCACGGCCTCGCCATAGGGCTGCGGCGCCTCGGGGACCCCCGGCTCCCGCTCCTTGGGGGCGCAGCGGGCAGCGCGGGGCAGGGCATTCCCGGCACAGCTGGGCAGCGCCGCGCGGGCGCCGTCACCGTCCAGCCCCTTGGCACCCAGCAGGCACGAGGCCAAGGGCTTGGGGCGCCCATCGCCGGAGCCCCGCGGCGGCACCCCCTCCTTGCAGTGCCCCTCGGGCGGCACCGGCAGCACCGCCTTGTGCCGCTCCTTGGCGTCCTCCTCGGGCAGCCGTTCCTTGGGGTCCCCCTTGCCCCCCTTCTCCTTGCCCACCAGGAAGCGCTCGTAGTCCTTGGGGGTCTTGGGCAGGGGGCCGGTGTCCCGCTCCCGGCTGCAGGAGCCGGCGGGGGGCCCAGGGGCAGCGCGGGTGATGCCGGGGAAGCCGTGGCTGGCAGGGAGCAGGGGGGGCTGCGCCGGAAGGTTCCGCAGGTAGAAGTTATCTGGAGGGGAGGGTAATGCATGAGACCCCCACGGACCCCCCAACCGCTGGTCGTGCCAATGAGAGGAGGAGTGGGATGAAGGGACAGATGCCCACCACCCCCACCCGCTGCCCAAGCACTGGGCACCTGCTCTGGCACCAGCCCCCCACTCCGACACCAGCACTGGGACAGGTATTAAACCCACCACCCCTGCCTGGCTGGGGACACGCACTCCCACAGGGGACCCTGGTGGCCCCGGTACCCTGGTGGCCCCGGTACCTGCCTTTCTGGCTCTCGTAGAAGCGGTGCTGGCCGTAGAGCACGTTGCCGTTGCCGTGGTGGTCCAGGTGGCCCATGGGCAGGAAGGTGGAGGCCAAGCTCCCGGAGAAGCGGGGGTACCCCGGGGCTGGGGGCACAGGGTCAGGGGGGTTGGGGTGGCACATCACCCAGCACCCCAACCCACAGCGCTCTGGCTGGGAACGCCCTGCAGAGCCCGTGATCCCCTCCATGCTGGGACCCCCCACGCCCTCCGGGAGCCATCGGGGAGGGGGCTGAGGCCCCCCCAGCCTCGTGTCAGTAGTGGCCGTGCTTGGCTCGGCTCGGCACGGCCCGGGCGGGCTGTCCGTCAGCCGCGTGCGCTGCCCGTCCCCGTCCCCCCGTGCCCCCCCCGAACGCCGGGAGCCAGCTGGCAGCCGGTCAAACTACCAGCTGGGCCGGCTGCCAGGGCCCCGCGCCAGCACCACCGCCCCGCTCCCGCTCCTCCGGCGGGATGGGGACGGCAGCAGGACGGGGGGGGCAAGGGGAGTCAGTTGAACCAGGGTTGCCCTGGGGGTCCCCACGCTGTCACCTGCCCCGTCATCACCAGTGACACAAGCTGGCCCGGCCTCAGCCCAGCTCCCAGGCCGGGGGTCTGCAGCTCCCCATGAGCCTCTCCAGACACCCCAAACCCCAACTGTGGGGGTTGAGCTTGGTTCCCATGGATGCCCAGGGGGAATTTGGGGCACAGCGCTGCTTGTACCCACATCATCACCCCAAAGCAGTTGTCCAGGGGGCCTGGATCCCATCCACACAGGCACCAGTGGGACATGGCCCACTGGCTCTGGGCAGAGCCCTGGCCACATCTTCACCACCCACAGGGACCCCTGACCCACCCATCCGCGTCCCAGTGCCCACTCACCTTCGTGGGAGTGGGAGAACCAGATCTGGGAGGTGCCGGAGTGGGGCCCGCAGAAGGCTGGCTCTGGGGGGGAGGCGGCGGGGCCGGCGGGGTGGCTGGGCCCCCCCGAGCCCAGGCTGCTGCTCAGGAAGCCCCCCATGAAGGAGGATGGGGGGGCGCTCCCCATCAGGCTGCTGCCGGCTGTGGGGAGAGGACACAGTCAGGGGGGCCGAGGACACAGCTGGGGGGGTTGAGGACACAGCTGGGGGGGTTGAGGATGCAGCTGGGGGGCTGCACAGGCCCTGCTCGCACACGTGACCCGTTGTGCACCCTCGTGCACACACGTGTGCATGCAGTTCCCAGGGGGCTGTGCAGCCCACTCGGCACTGGCGCATCCCCTGTGCACACACAGCCCTCCTGAGCACACGTGTCCCTCGCGTCGTTGTGTCCCTCGTGCACACGCAGTCCGTGAGCACACACGTCCCTCACATGATCACCTCCCTCGTGCTCACACGTCCCTCGTGCACGGATGGCCCTTGAGCACCCACCACATCCCTTGTGCACGCGTGGCCTGTGAGCCACATGCCCCTCATGATCATGTCCCTTGTGATCCCAGCCCTTGTGCCATCACGTCCCTCGTGCACACACATCCCCTGTGAGCACACACGGCCCTTGTGCGATCACAGCCCTCGCGCCCCTCACGTCCCCCAGCCCCACGCTGCCCACACGTGCACCAGGGCGTGTGAGAGGCAGCAGAGCCGTGCAAGGGGCACTGGGGCCCTGCCCTGTGCGTGCCCTGAGAGCACACACGTGTGCTGGCACACAGGAGGCTTTGCACATGTGTGTGGCTCCCCATGCAGCTGCTCCCAGTGCTGGGACAATCCCAAGGTCCAGGGGCCCAAGGCTGTGCCATGCAATGTGTGTACACATGTAAGTGTGTACGTATGTCTATACACATGTATGGGCACACACGTGTGCAAGGAGGGGCAGAGGCAGCTCCCATCCTGACCCCACCACCTCCCCCACAGCCTGGGGAGGCCCCCAGCACCCCTGGGGAGGCCCATGGCCAGCACTCCCCATCCCGCCCCCCATCCTGCTCCCATCCCGGCCAAACCGTGAGATCATGGTGGAAACTTTGGAGCTGGTGGCCAGCGGCCGGGCGGGGGGAGCCGGGATGGGGGGAGCCAGGATAGGGGGAACCGGGATGGGGGAGCAGCTGCCCCTCACTGCACAGCCCTGTTCCCCGTGCCCCTGTGTGCCGGCGCGGTCACGGCACAGCTTGGCACGCGTGGCGTGGCGCGGTGCGGAGCACGGGCTGGCCGCCCGCCCGGCCGGGGCAGGAAGCGATGCTTTGCTCTCTAAGCCAGCCCACGCTCCCCGGCTAATCCCGCCGGGATGCCTCTGGGATGAGTGTCGGGATGTGGTTTCAGGCAGCTTTGCTCCTTCCTCCGCGGAGAGGCCGAGCCGGGCAGGACCGCGTGGGCCGGGGGCACGGCCGCAGCCCTGGGAACCGGACACGCACCAGGATGGGTGGGCACATCCCACCGTGCCAGTGCATCCCGGGGGATCCCTGCCCGGTGCTGCCTGCAGCCAGCCCGGCCCTACACCCCAGCTGTGCCGGGGGACCCCGTGCAGGCGTGGAGCCGGCAGCGTGCTGGGCGGCTGTGCCGGGCGGGAAGCCGAGGTTTCCAGAACAAGACTTTTCTGGAAGCCGTGGAAAGGGTTGGAAAAAAATAACCCCCCACCCCGCCCCAAAGGCGGCGGGGCCGAGGTGTCCCAGGGGGGCCATGGGGTCGCCGCTCCCCACCGCCCACCCGCTGACTCACGGGTCCCCCGGCGCGCTTGGCCAGCACTGCCATTCCCACATTCCCACCCGCCTCGCACGCCTGCTCGCCACGGCCCCTGGCACACTTGTGCTCTGCCACGGCTCACCACGAAGCATGGGCAGGGAGAAGCCCCCATCCTGCCCCCTCCAGCCACGCTGACAGTGAGGACAGGGACAGGTCCTTGAGAACGTGCACAACTCGTGTCACTGATGAGCCCAGTGTCAGAGCAGCCCTGTGCCACAGGTTCCTGAGACCGCGCACAACTCACGCCAGTGATGAGCCACCAGTGCTGGAGGAGCCCCGTGCCAGGACGGGCACAGCAGCGCAGGGCTGGCTGCCAGCAGGGGACAGATGGGCTGCGGGGTCCCACCCTGGCCCCCCCCGCTGCCCCCCCCCCCCCGGCAGCGTCACCCTGGGAACTCCCTGGCCAGGCTCCCCGAGGCCAGGGCCGTGACTCAGCCCCGCCGGCATCGCTCCCGGCTCCAGCACGAAACTTCCCTTGGCCCCAAATCCGCAGAGAGTCACACGTGTGACAAGTGTGCCAGGTCTCAGCCCACAACAACAGTGCCGGGGGGTTGCAGGCGCAGGCAGGTCACTGAGGGGACCCGTGGGGGGCAACAAGAGGTGCTCCCCTCCCTACAGCTGCTCCTCGCCCCCGCTCCAAGTGCAGCACAGATGGGAATTTTCTGGGAAGGCAGAAAGTTTCAGGGCCGGGGCGTGTGGGAGGGGCCGTGGTCCCGGGGGGGTTGACCCCATGGCTGCTCCGGGGTCCCCAAGGTGGTGACAGCCCCCGGGTCCCCGCGGTGGTGGCGGGGGGGACGTGCAGAGGGTTGGGTTTCTCCCTCAGCTATTTCAGGGCTGGAACATTCCTAACGGAGCCAGGGCCACAGGCGGAGGGCTGGGAGCTGGCAGGGACCCTCACGCCGCAGCCGGGCACCCGGGGGTTCCCCAAGCCAGGCAGGGGGTGGGTGCAGCCCCCAGCTCCCCCCCTCAGAGTTCACAACCCACACGACCCCTTTAAAAATCTGGCAAACAGGGAATAAACAGGCTCTGGCTCCCCCGGTGCTGTAATTCCAGCTGAATCCATATTGTTACGGCACTAAACGAACGCTGTTATGGTGAAACGCTGCCGGAACGTGCCCGACGGAGCCAGGGGGGCAATCCCAGCATTATCTGATGGGTTATCTGCTCCAGAGGGCTACAGGCAGCTGCCCTGGCTGGAGCTGCTGCGCACTCTGCCCTTGCACACTCACCAGGGCTGGGTGTGCACAGCGATCACGAGGGTGGTGCACACTCCTGGCACGGCTGCCACACACATGTGCTCAGTGCACGCTGCCTGCACACACCGTTTGCACACCCACCGCACAACCTGACACACACGAGCTGTGCAAAACCATTTCTGGAGCACCGGGAAGCCGGGGAGGGTCCAGCCCTGGTTGGACACGCAGATGCCAAGCATGTGGACTACCCCCCCTGGGGAAACCCCCAAAAGGTGGGGACCACGGTGACCCCGTGTCACTGAATGTCACATGTGCAGGGTCCCAGGAGGGAGTGACCCCAAGGGGCTACCAGGACTCATGCCCCCCTGCTCCCTCCAGGAGGGACCCCAGCACCCAGTGGGGTGAGACCCTGCCCTGGGGTGATGCTGCGAGGTAGGTGGGGTGCAGGCAGGGCCAAGGGAGTTCTAGGAATTCTCAGATTCTCTGGGGAGCCCACCCCCACCCCCAGTGTCCCCTGAGCAGCAACAAGGGCTGGCAGCAGCTGCCCGTCCCCCCAGGGCCTGGCACGTGGTAGCGTCTCCGCGTGGATGCAGCTCATGACTAAGGAACAGTGGAACCACTCGGGAATGATTCTGCAAGACCCGGGGTGATCCGGTGGGATCTGGGGACCTGCACATCCTGCTGCTCCCGCTGGCCACGCGTGTGTCCCCCTGCCCCTCGTGGCTGCCGAGGAGCAGGCCAGTTAATGGCCAAATCTGGTTTAACTTTGACACTCACTTTGGAAATGCAGCGGCATGGCCGGGCTGGCTCAGGGGTCAGGGGGAGCGGGGAGCCCCTGCAGCAGAGCTGTACCAGAGCTGTGCCAGAGCTGTGCCAGAGCCGCACCAGAGCTGTACCAGAGCCGTGCCAGAGCTGTGCCAGAGCCGCACCAGAGCTGTGCCAGAGCCGTACCGCGGCCTCCAGCCCCTCATGAGACCTGTCTCCAAGGAAGCAGCGATGCGGAGCGGCTGCAGCGCTGGCACCTGGCCCTGTGTCACCACCCGGCCAGAGGCACTGTCCCCACCACCACCTCCCCAAGGATCCCCCCCAAAGCCATGCCAGGGAACCACACAGCACCCGGCCTGCGGCATAATCCAGGGAGGGGAGAGGTGTGGGATCACATCCAGCCACTGACTCACGGCCCCGGGATGCACACCGGGATGCAAACCCTGCACCGGGATGTGCACCGGGACCTGCACTGTCATGGCCAGGCTGCATGCCAGCACCAGGTTGCACACTGGCACCGGGATGCACACCGGCACTGCCGAGGCCAGGCTACAGGCCAGCACCGAGATGCAGACCGGCACCCCCGGGGTCAAGCCGCCCGCCGGCACGGCCGCGCTGCTCCCAGCAAACCCGGTGCCGCCGTTCCCCAAGGCCGTGTGCCGAGGGCTCGGCCACGGTGACGATCAGCCCGGCGCAGTCACAACTCCCCACTAGTCCAGAAAAACATCCGAAGGACAAAAATCGCATCCAGGCCCCCAGCGCGGCTCAGCCAGAGTTTCCCACCCCTTGGTTGTGGCAGAGGCACTGGGACCCCCGGCCCTGCTCGGCACAGGGAGTGCCGGGGTGGTGGGACCCACCGCAATCGGGGTGTGGGGGTTGCACCCGGCCTGGGTGGGCTCAGGCAGCTCCAGGGGTCCCTGATCCCCCAGCACCAGGCAGTGCCACAGCCCCCCAGCCCCCCTGCCACCATCCACCCAGTGCCGGTGCCAAACCTGACGCCGGCCGGAGCGTTCAGTTCCAGCAACGCGTGGTCCTGAGTTACGGCTTTAATAAAATCAAGGAAAACACTTTTATCTCCCATTCCCAGGGAGGCCGCCAGCCCCAGCAAAGGCTCCTGGGAGGTGTAGTCCGGCCCCACGCCGGGAGCCATTTGGGGGAGTGCGGCCGGAGCCCCCCAGTCTCGCCGTGCCCCTCGGGTGCCGCGTGCCGCGCCGGCATCGCCACGCCACGGCCAACCGCGGGCTGGCTCCGTGCACTGGGTGGGGTAATTATCAATCATCGGCGTTAATTACCACGCCACGCCGCCACGGCTGCCGGCACCGCGGCTGGGCCATGCTGGGGGGACACGGGGTGCTGGGGACAGGGACCCCCCTCCCGCCGGCACTGCGCCGGCCACTAAATTATCCGGTTTATCCGCCCCAGCGGCGTTCCAGCCGTGTGGAGCTGCGGAGCGCAGCTCGCTGGGAAGCGCTCCGGCTGCGCCGGCCCTGCCAAAGCCGGAATATTTTTAGCTCGTTCTGTTGTTGGGTTTGGCTTCTCTGTTTTTTTTTTTTTTTTCGGCGCGTTTCTGTCGGGGTATTTTTAGCCAGATTCATGTTATTTTAACAACCTCCGGTGCGTTCGGGCTCCCATGTGTCGCCCAGGCCCCGGCGGGTGTGAGGGTCCGGCACGGGGACACCGCCACGCCGGGAAGCCGGAGGGAAGCCGGAGAGAAGCCAGCAGCACCCAGCGCTGGCGTCCCCCCGGGATCCCCCGTATGGCCACTGTGAGCCGGAGAGCAGCCGAGCCCCCATCTCAACCTCCCACCCTGGGGACAGGCTCCAAGCCCCCACCACGCCCCATGGCCCCCAAAAGCAGGGGGAAGCCAGGGTGGCCCCCTCAGCCCAGCGGTGGTCCCGGCAGTGAGGCCGCCGGCACAAAGCGAAACCGCCCCGGCCGCGGGCCCGATCCAGCGCCACCTCCCTGGCACCCCCCGGTGCCCCCCGGTTTCTGCCTTCTTCCAGGAGCCCCCGCCGCTGCCACCCTCCCCCCCGCGCCGGCCCGGCCGTGCCCCCCGCCCTAATCCACGCACTAATTGTAATCCCATTAAAGCAGATATAATTTTATTAGTATTCACAGCTCATCAAGGCGGCGACAATAACCGGCGCTGCCGCCTTGCCGCGGCCAGACAACCGCCCGCGCCGGCGGGAAGCAGGGGGCCCCGGTGCTGCACCACGCCGAGCCGGCAACCCTGCACCCGCTCCAGCCCTGCTCCCGCTCCAGCTCCATCCCGGAGCCCAGCGGTGGCAGCAGGGGCCCCGCTGGCTGCACACTCAAAGCCCTCCATGCAGCGAACCCCAGTTTAGGTGCAGCGCACCCCAGTTCAGCCCTGCCCGGCCGCAGCCGAGCACATGCCGCAGACAAAGCCGCGGGGGCAGCTGGCCGTGGCCGCCGGACGCGGTGACCCCTCGGCAGCGCCGGTTGCCCGTGCGGCGCTCAGCCGTGTGCCGCGCTTTGTCCGGCCCCGGCGGCGAACACGCGCCACGAACCCCTTGGCACCCTGACACTTCGGTGCCCAACATCGAGCCGGGGCTCGGTGACCTTCCACCGCCGCCCCACGGCCCCGCGTATAACGGCCTCCTCGTTCCCCGGAGCGCGCCCGTTCGTCCGGGCACCGGGATCTCTCCGGAGCGGCCCGGGGGCCACGCTCCTCCCGTGCCGGAGTGGGGGAACATCCCCCGTGTGTGCGTGAGTCCTCACCCCAAACCACCAGGCGCGGTGACAGCGGGATCGGCACAAAGGGAGGCCGAGCTCCCGGTGCGGTGCCGAGCCCCCCACACCCCTCCCGGCCCCTCGCGCCGCGGCCGCATCGAGCCCTCTGACCTGTGTGCGTGGCCATGGAGATGGGCGCCGGAAAGTACTTGGTGGGCTGGAAGTGTCCGGGGGGCTGCACGGCCCCGTGTGCCGACCCCGCCACGCGCCCGGAGCCGTGCCGGTGGCCCAGGCTGCCCCGCTCCGACAGCAGCCGCGGCGGGGGCGCGAAGTCACGGCCGTCCATGCCGGGGGCACCCACCCGCGGGGGGCTCGGCGGGACCCCGACACGGCTGGTGGGCGATGCTCAGCGCCGCGCCGGGCTGGCTCGGCGGGCGTCCTGCCGCGCTCCGCGCCGGGGCTGTCGGCTCATCCTCCGCTCCTGGCACGGGGGAGAGAAAGGAGAGAGTGAGAGCACGGCCAGGCTGGGGGTACGGCCCTCCCCACACCCCCGAACCCGCTCGCCCAGCACCCCGCTCCCAGTTTGCCCAGTGCACAGCTCCCTCCCTCTCCGTCTCGCAGGGCCGCGGTTTCCCCGGCGCTGCCGGTGCACGGTCCCCGTTTCCCCGCCATCCCCGGAGCACGGCCCCCCTTTTCCCCGGTACCCCCGGTTTGCAGCCCCCCCCTTTCCCCGCACCCCCCCTTCGTGGTCCCCAGTTCCCTGAGGACCCGCCCCCCCCCCTCCCTGTTCCGGGTGCTCCCGGAGCGCAGCCCCCCCTCCTTTATCCGGTGCCCCCGGTTCTCGACCCCAATCCCCTGGAGCCCGGGCACGGCCACCCCCAGCTCGGGGCCCGGTTCCCGCTGCTCCGGCCCTTCCTCCCCGCTGCCGAGCTCCTGTTTCCCGGCGCTCCGTTCTTCTATCTCCCCCGGTTCACCGACCGTATCTCCCCGGGGCTCGGCCCCCGCTCGCCCTCGGCTCCCCCGGTTCCCGTTGTGTGCCCGGTGCTCGGCGCCTCCCTCGCTGCGCTTCCACTATTTCCTTCCTTCCGTCCCCCAGCCCCGATTCCCCGGGATCTCCCCGGTTTCCCTCCAGCCCCACTCCCCCGGTATTTCCCGGTGCCCGGACCCCTCCTCTCCGCGGTTCCCCGGTTATTTTCCCGGTGCCCTGCCCCGGTTTCGCGGTGTGGCCGCGGTGTCCCGGCCCCGGTTCTCGGTCCGTGCCGGTGCCCGGCCGCGGCTCCCGCCCGCCGGGTCATTGTTCTGGCAGCGCCGGGGCCGCGGGGCCCGATCCTGCGGGGGGAGCCGGGCACGGGCCGGGCGGCGGCGAACAAAGGGGCGCGGGGCGGCGAGCGCGGCCGGGGGGCGCGGGGGGTCCGGGGGGGGCCCGGCCGGGGCCGCGGGCACCGGGGAGGAGCGCTGGGCCGAGCCCCGCGGCGAGAAACACGGGCCGGGGGGGGG